CGGAGCCCCGGGCGCTGCAGCGCTGACGCCGCGGCCGGTACGTCGTGTGCACGCCCCGCGTGGGAGTGCGCCTCGCCCGGTGGCGTTTTGGAGAGCAGCAGCTCTGAACTTCGTGTTGAGCAGAAGCATGGCTGAACCCCTACATTCAGGATTCAGCTTTGACGGGTTCTTCCCAGTGCCCAGCTGGGTGCCAGTCAGACCTGGCGCTGGTGACTGGGCCAAAGTGCTGAAGAAGTGGCCGAATTCCTGGCCCCAGGGAGCTCGTGGCCCAGTTGACGCGGCACAGAACCACAGCGGGAATGGGAGCGGGGCGCTCTGTCGCCATCCCTAACGTAGTCATTCCTGTTCTGTGTCTTTGAGTTTTACAGGAGTTAACTCCCAGGTAGAAAGGGGAGCAGAGAATTTTAATCTGAGCTTTCTCTTATTCCAGTTTTTTACACTTAAAAGTCAAAGTTACGATACAGTTCACTAAAAAGGACGGCTTGCTAAGCAGCCGAGTTCGCCGCAGCTCGGCCCTGCAGCTGTCCCACCTCCCCCGTGTGATTGAGTCCCCTCTGTGTTCCCAGGTGACTCCAGACCAGGAGGAGCGGCGGTTGCTGTGGGACGGAGGATGGAGGGAAGCCGCTCCTACACACCTCCCTCTGGGGCTGCTGCTGCCCCCGCAAAGGGTGCTGGCCAGGCCAGGAGCTTGCCTGCCTCCCCCTCCAAGGACGTGCCCCGGGGTGTTGAGGGGATCGTTTTTTCTTCCTCTCCGGTTTTAGACTTGAGTCAAAGAGGTCTGCACCATTTGGAAGATGTCTTTAAAGTCCCCAACCTTCAAGTAAGTGGGCTGTTTCTCAAGAGGTTTGTACACAAGGGCCACGTAGGCAGAAATGGAAAATTCACCCCTAGGCTTTTATTAGGAGGCATTTCTCTCTTTAGAAGAGATGAATTCTAGAAGGAAATAGAGGAAGGGTTAAGTAGGGGTTTCATATACTGATCACAAGAAAGTGAGAAATTCAGATGTGGGACCAGACTGTGGAAATAGTGTGTCTGTTGAGATGAGGGAGCCTCTTCTCTTCCCTGCAGGTCGTGGCTCTCCTTGGGAAAGTGTTGGGCACAAGAAGACCTGTGGTAGAAACTACTGCCAGAACACGCTTGGTCTCTTATCTAAGTACAAAATGCTTAAAAAAAAAAAAAANAAAAAAAAAAAAAAGAAAAGGGCAGTACTGAAACAATTAAAAACTTTTTCTAGCCCACAACTTTGCTAGTACTACACAGTGATGTTACTTTGTGCCAGGTACCTCCTCCAAGTCAGCCCCTGGTGTAGCTCCATTGTTAGGCAGATGGGGGCACTCGCCTAGCAGTGACAGAATTCCCTGAAACCACATTTGGTTTCGTGTGGAATATGGGGATGATACTATTTTCCTGGGTGGTTGTAAGAATGAAATGATAACATATGTAAAGCATGGCGTCTGGAACACAGTGTCAGTGTTGGCTGGCATTCGAGTGCTCTCACAAAGGCTGCATGCCTCGACGTTGTGGGCTGCTCACACACTGAACCTGCTCTTGTGCATTTACATGTGCCCCCTTTGGCTTCAGGGCCTGCTCTGGTCCGGCTGTTTCTTTCCTTAGCACCAACCTCTAGGAGTGAGCCACTGGTCACAGGGACCCACCTCATCAAGGTTCCTGCTGTGCACGTGTCGCTTTCAATGAAGCAGGTTCTCCCCACACTGAATGAGGAACCCAGCAGAGCCGTGAGGTCGATGCTACCTTTATACACAAAGGCTTAATAAAGAAATTTTATAACTAACTGTTTATACCTTTCAGAAGACAGATGTCGGTATAAATTTTATTACCATAGCAACAAAT